TGGAATGATTTCAGCGAATAAACGACATAGTTTTTCCAAAAAACTAGTAACTAGCCATTTTTGAGAGGTAAACTGAATATGGCATGAAATATTTACCGCATTTTACTTGTATTAACAGGTCATTGTCGAAGCGTAGGTTACGCACGGTTACCGTGTTCTCCGTATTCACAACATGTTCACAGCGATCGATATCCACGCTGTATCATATAAAAACGATTACCAAGATTCGTTAAGCAAGACCAAGTTTTAAATTAGTTGCATTTTGAAGGGGTGGGCGCTTTGCCGAATGTGACCCCAAATATAAAAATTGCGCAAAAGTGGGGGGTGGGCGCTTGCCCGGGCATGGGCGCTAACGCGGTCGAGTACGGTACTACTATACAGTAAGATTGTTTCACGTTGAACGTGACTAAGATTATCGTGACCAAATCTGGATTAGCTTCCTGGCAGTCTGTTCAAATATTGTTCGATTTATTCATTTTTGGCGCCAACATAAATATGTTATCGATGTGTCTATGATTGTCGTTGGAATATGGATTTTTCTCCGTCAAAGTCTTCAATTGCTACGAAGACATTTAAGTCGACAAAATCGGTCAGAACACGGACAATGTGAAATAAGAATCAGTTTAATAACTGCCGCCAGACTAGTATGAAATTTCTTTTCACGTGCATTTTGGGCTATATATAGACTTTGATTCAAACTCTGAAACTCGCAGACATTTTTGTTCACATGGATACGTTACGATTGTAACACTATTGATAATTCGTATAGACCCCGCCAAAGAAATTCTACGATGACAATAACGGTAACCGAGAGGCGTGTTATAGTAACACGTCGAAACGCAGCAACGGTTTGAGCAAATGACATCAGCTGCAAATATGTCAAATATATATTAAATATGGCTTTTCAGTGGACTGAATTTGAAAATAAAAATTGTAAGACCCGAGGTTTAACAGAATTAACAATACATGGTTCATTTAATTTGCAACGCATCAACTTACTTCTAGCCTGGGGTATAACCATCGTTTTCAGCAGCTCGGAGTAATCGTGGTCCGCTTCTGTCGGGGAATATTCACTGAACGTCTCGTAACGTTTTTCGTCTGGGTACTCGATTCCAGCAGCTGTCATGGCTGCAAGGAGCGCAGCGTTGAAAAACCAACAATCCCGGAAAGGACGAGTACCGTCGTCTTGGTGTAATACTGCTATTCGCTTCCAATTAAAATATTGTAACACCTCCACAAACGCCTCCGCCATTTTGATGTGAGGAGGGTGAGCCCTCGTGATCATTTCGTATTCCTTTTGCGTCTTGTGTCCGAAGGTCTGGGCTTTCGCCCCCGTTGTTAATATCGGGATTTGCCAATGTGAGGCGAATCTTGCAACGGGCGCAGCGGCGTATTCACAAGCGGGTCCAAAGAATGCCTCCACACCGAGTCCCTTAATATTTCCCATGAGTTCCACAGCTCGTATCATCGAGGCATGGTTTGAACACTCGGAATCGACGTAGGCCACGGATATATTGGCATCCGTCAGTAGATTACGATCATTTCGCACTTTTTCTACCGCAATATCAATACCCGGTGCAATCATAGGTTTTACGTACGGGTACATGAGATCAATGTTTAAATTATCGGAAACGTGAAAATGCCCCGGCTCTGTAATCATTGCCCCGATTCGTATTTCGTACGAAGCGGCAACGGCATGCGCAATAAAGCTAACTAACAAACAGACTAAACAGAGTAATAACGAGAAACAGTGTGATAAAAGCCCCATTGCAGGCATCGATGCGTTCCAATAGAAACCACACTTAGACGACACACTCACTGCAGCCAACACGATCCGTGATGTAAGCTCTATTCCAACTTTACGTCAAATATGCAAACTTCCCAATCCAATAAAAAACATCGACGGTTACACGGCATTTACATTCCATTTAGCGAATCGCTGACACAACGACCCGACTGATGCGTCGAATCATGGATGCCCAATCCACATGCGAATAGTTCTGTTATGCGCATGCGCATGCGAACTGAAACAACTAATTACTTCTGCCGTTTCAGAACTGAAAAGTACCTCGGAAGACTGGTGTGCATATTAATTCAGAACAGTTTTATCATTACCCAACAAGGCTCTCGCCATAGAAACAATCTGAAAACAAGAACCACGTAGTAGATCAGGTTAAAATATGAAAAAAAATGCTAGAAATGTTTGCTATAATTAATTCTGTAAACGCGTCTTTGAAATCTTACATCCGGGAATGTATATGTCAAATTCATATCACGGCTCGAGAAGAACGAATTTGTGATACATCGCAGTTTGCCGCCAGAGGTATTGCCACCTTGAATATGTAATCAACGTAGTCGGATTAGGTAACAAGAACTCGATCACGAACACATATTTTAGTTGTGATATTGTTCACCGCAACTAATTTCCGCAATCATGATAGAGAAGCCATGATATTGTCTCCTTCCCGAACTGTATATGTTATGAGCTCCAAAAACACATAGCTTGAGGAAACTGTTCATAATGAATAATACACTTGTCTTCTTCAATCTAGTTTTATAATTCAATGATGAACGATACATTAATACTGATAATAACATTTCAGATATAAACAGGATATGACGTAGAGATTCGGTCCACTTTACCCTGAAATCCTACCAAAATGCGGTTGGAAATGGAATCCAATACGGTTTATTATTCTTCGTATGTGGTGTTTTTGCTGTCACGGTATCGCTTTTCAACTCAAACGTGATAACTATTTCTATTTTTTAAGTTTGACACCTACCACATAATATAACTGTCATTTAATTGTTTCGTTACCAATTTATTGATCAACAAGACATTATTAACAATAAATAGACAATTATATTCCCTTACCAACTACAGTTATGCGCATTAGTCTGTAATATGGCGAACTGTTGGGTAATGTTTTGTCCGAATAATTATACAAAATATGCTAACACGATGTTATTGGAAGATATAAACCAATTAACCTTCAGTTACAGGCATGCACGTGTGATACTGTACGTACGGTAGCCTGAAAGTCTCTATTGATTTGCACTTGAATGTTAAAATGAATTGACATTGTATTATTCCCTGAAATGGTGACCGTATGGAAGCATTCGACACAATAATTAGTAAATCTCGTTTATTTATCGGCCACCTATTAACGATTACCGAGGCGCTCGCGCGAAAATAAAGCTTTTTCGAATCGGGTAATTTACAATGACAGACAAATAATGAGATGGAATTAAATTGAAGAGGATGAGAAAGTCCGTAGCGTGCGTTCACACAGCAGAGAAACTGACTTCATTTAAATGCACTCCGGCGTTTTATGGAACTTGGCAGTTCAGTTGCGATTGGAATCTCCAGGATACGACAAATTACTTATATACAAAGAGAGCGGCAGTCACGTCAATCATACAGCCAAGGTGATATAATGGACAACACGGCGAGGCTGTCGCCGCTGAACACAGAGGCGATTTAGACTTTAAGTTGTAATCACGCCGAAATGAACAATGACAGTTGGTGCGTATTTCCTGATGCAGGTATGCCTATACACATTGAATGAAAGAGAAATGCAATAAAGACGTAAACTCGTTATTTTGTTATTTCCATTGCATTCTGTAGCTATTATGCGATGCCAATTCATTTATTAAACACGCAGTTGTGTCGAATTGGTACACCATGAATCTGGCTGCGAAATCACGTGAATAACGGTAGCGTCAATTGGAAATCAACAGATCGAAGTAGGAGTTTATGTTAGACAAGCTTGTATTCTATGTGACTGGCTGACGTTAATTGCTGACTGATAAATAATAATATATAATATCGTACATATACATATCAATTTTTTTTTAGATATCATAGAATTTAACAACAAAATATCATGCTATATATGCCGGATTGTTTCATAATTATATTTTCAATAACGTCTATAATTGGAATCTTGTTCTCATAATCCTATTAAAATAATTAGATCTCAAACTAAATAATGATGTAGTAGTATTCAAATTGTTCTCGTCGACTGTAAGTATTGTAATAATAAATGACGTTTATATTAATGATACACGACGTAAGCGTAATACCCGATGAATATGCAATTATTACGTATAGATATGGATATCTTTTTCAATTACAGCATTGTGTCGTGCACGTTATTAACAAAGCCCCTTTTAGCTTGTGTTAGTAATCGAGATCAAAAGGGGTGTTAAAAAACGATATAATTCTAACATTAGTTCAATTTACGGCATACTATAGGTTGTCATTGATATAATCGATGATCGTTACTTTTAAAAAGCGTCGGAATCTCATGCTTCTGTACCCGGGTTTCTTTGTCACGCTGCGGCATTTACTGTGATGTTAACACATCTTGTTTGACGCTGCTTATTCTATCACTCCTGTGTTCAACGCTTTACAACATACTGAATCAGAGTTGAAATGATATCGACGTATTCCGCTTATCCCTACATTTGTGGCAACACATGCAAGACTAAACATATGTTCATCTATCATGTCGACTTGAATATTTAATTATCACGCAGAGTATTTAAAATACTTATTCATTTACGCTACCGATCTATTCTCTAGAATTTACAATGTTGCGAAAGTTATATAAATATATATATATTGTTATAATCAAATCAATCATAGTTCTGTATGTGATCAAATGTGTTTACGCCATGTTTATACTATATCACTTTTTAAAAAACGTATAACAGCAAATTTTGGAAAGTGCATATATTGAATGGAACATACTTAAATACTAGTCACAGTCAACAACGCACATTGTTACGATAACTAAAATTGCATATTTGTATGTATTTGTATGTATAAACATTAATACATCACACAGTCTGCAAGTATGAAATACTTTTAGAACATCTTTTTAGATGTTTACCAGTCATGCGCGTTTTACACAAAGGTTTTTCAAACATAAAAATGATCAATTCAAATAGGTAATACTCAGCAAACACTCATTAGATTCCTTCATTTTTCTCGGAGATTGTAGAAGTTATATATATATATATATATATATGACCACAAAACTCGCAGAGACCATTGTTGAATTTAAGCATACTGATTAGGCTACATGAATGTAAAAAAACACAGTAATGGAAACTGAAGCAAAATCCCTATGACTGTTATGTTATCATGTTATTCTATATTTTTCAAGCAAATATGGGGCATATCCAATTTATTATGATCATGTAACATCGATTTTTAATTAGTGCAAATTATGAGCTCTCATAAAATGTATATTTTTATATGGTTTAAAACAATTTACTATGAAATAATTAGTGTGAATTTTACACGTGAAAACCTTTAACATATTCTTAATTTTATAGAAAGCAAATATTAAAGTTGTGCCGCAGCATGTCGTTATCTCCAATATTATTGTGAATTATACAGCACTCGAATCTAGATGGATTTCTTCTTCGACTGATTAATCGGTGCATTGAATCTCTGCTGCTATGTTCAATAATCTACCAGTATTTTCCTAATTTCCGGTATAACTATTCATTGTTATTCACAATGTGAACGTATCAGATATGAATGTCTCCGTCGTGGTTCGACGTATTATAGTGAAATGAAAACATACGCAGCCCCAGCTGATAACATTTGTAAAGTTAACTGAACGATAACAGTTTCGGTGTATTGTAAAATAAACCACTTGTGTGTGTCAAACACATATTCTCGTCACGATGTCCGCTTATTTTTTAATCTAGTATATACACCTAGTTGACAGAATTCGTGTGATAGTCATGATAAAGATAAACAAAGTCTTTTTATTCAGCACGCCACAGTCGTCACACAGACTGTCACATGCGTCACGAAGCGCGCTGAAGTTGCCACATTCGTCAGGCAGCGCGCGTCGTTGCGCAGCGCAGTGTTAGCACCCGTGCTCTCTTTAACTACTCGGTAATTTTTTGTAAGAGCTTAAATTGAGAAATTGCGCACTTCCGGTCAATTGGCGCCAGATAAAAAAAGGTCCGCGCGATGTTGATTTTTTCATGAACGTACCCTACAGCACTCAGCTTAGAGCGTTTTCGGCTAGATCGGCGGGGCGCGTGTAAAGAACGCTCACAGCGCAAGACGTAAGACGTGCCAGAGCAAACCCGGATGCGACGTTTCGATGGCGGCTTCATATAAAGAACATCATAAATATTGAAAAAGCGCATCTTATTTAATAGCCTTTCTGCTATGTAATATCCATTTTTATTCAATGTCATGAGACATGTTAGCTAGCAAACACTGAACGTGTTCACCCCCGCTTGGCCGTGTTCGCAAACTTGTCACTCAACTAATATATACGCATTCGCAGAAATGAATGGTGTGATTTGTTATCTTTATAATAATATTCTGTCTACAAGTAAAATTGTTTTTTATCGTTGTCAAGTTAGGATTTGAGCGTTGTAATATCGGGTGATGATATGTTCTAATGAATGGTAATTGATAAATATGGCGCGGGCGTAGAATAAACTACCGTTAATAATAGTCTGTAAGTTCATGTTTAATACTGAGATGAAATTCAAATACACTATAATGAACGCTACACGGAAAGGTCCAAGAAAAAAGTGGGTCGAGTACAGCGCGTATTAAATGTAATCGACCGTGTAATTACAGTATGAACGTGTATGCCCGTTGCAACCGATAGGGGTTACCAGGCAGACATTTCCAAGTAGACATTTTTTTGCGATGAACGTGAGATTTGCAATAAAGTATA